GGATTTTTGGGGGGGATTTTGGGGGATGATTTGGGGTTTTTGTGGGCTGTTTAGGGTTTTGGGAGGATCTGGGGGATGATTTGGATTTTTTGGGGGGGATTTTGGTGTTTTTGGGGGGGATTTTAGGGGCTGTTTGGGGTTTTTGGGGGGGATTTTGCGGGATGATCTGGGTTTTGGGGGAATTTTGGGGTTTTGGGGGATGATTTAGGGTTTTGGGGGGATCTGGGGGATGATTTGGATTTTTGGGGGGGATTTTGGCGTTCTTGGGGGGGATTTTGGGGGATGTTTGGGGTTTTTGGGGGTGATTTTGTGGGCCGTTTCGGGGGGTGTGTTGCGGATGTTTTGGGATTTTTTTGGGGGGTCTCTGGGGGTCCCCCTGACCCCCCGGCCCCCCCAGGGACTACGCGGCCATCGTGTTCTTCGCCAGCAGCCGCTTCGAGACGGGCAAGAGGCGCCTGCAGTTCCTGAGCTTCGGGGACTTCGCTGCCTGTGCCCAGAGCATGATGGGCCACTGGAGCCAGGGGGCCCTGGGTGTGCCAAAATCCCAAAAATCCAAAAATCCCACCCAAAAAACCCAGGGCGTGATGGGCCACTGGAGCCAGGGGGCCCTGGGTCTGCCAAAATCCCAAAAATCCAAAAATCCCACCCAAAAAACCCAGGGCGTGATGGGCCACTGGAGCCAGGGGGCCCTGGGTCTGCCAAAATCCCAAAAATCCAAAAATCCCACCCAAAAAACCCAGGGCGTGATGGGCCACTGGAGCCAGGGGGCCCTGGGTCTGCCAAAATCCCAAAAATCCCACCCAAAAAACCCGGGGCGTGATGGGCCACTGGAGCCAGGGGGCCCAAAAACCCAAAAATCCAAAAAAACCACCCAAAAAACCCAGGGCTTGATGGGCCACTGGAGCCAGGGGGCCCTGGGTCTGCCAAAATCCCAAAAATCCCACCCAAAAAACCCGGGGCGTGATGGGCCACTGGAGCCAGGGGGCCCAAAAACCCAAAAATCCAAAAAAACCCAAAAAACCCCCCAGGGCTTGATGGGCCACTGGAGCCAGGGGGCCCAAAAACCCAAAAATCCAAAAAACCCACCCAAAAAACCCAGGGCGTGATGGGCCACTGGAGCCAGGGGGCCCAAAAACCCAAAAATCCAAAAAACCCACCCAAAAAACCCAGGGCGTGATGGGCCACTGGAGCCAGGGGGCCCAAAAACCCAAAAATCCAAAAATCCCACCCAAAAAACCCGGGGCGTGATGGGCCACTGGAGCCAGGGGGCCCTGGGTCTGCCAAAATCCCAAAAACCCAAAAATCCCACCCAAAAAACCCAGGGCGTGATGGGCCACTGGAGCCGGGGGGCCCAAAAACCCAAAAACACCAAAATCCCCCCCAAAAAATCCAAATCATCCCCCAGATCCTCCCAAAACCCTAAACAGCCCACAAAAACCCCAAATCATCCCCCAAAATCCCCCCCAAAAATCCAAATCATCCCCCAAAATCCACCCCAAAAACCCCAAACATCCCCCAAAATCCCCCCAAAAACCCCAAAATCCCCCCAAAAACCC